CAAATAATTCTGAGTGAACCTCTCACATGAAGCTCAATTTGTTAAGCCACCTTATCTACAATCTTTGATAAGTGTAGACTGAATACCACACGCTCAGCTCTTTCATCTGCAGGCAGCAGGCTGACACGCCATTTTTCTTCTTTGATGTTTCGCTCTGCCTCTCTTCCAGGTGCTCTGCAGAGAGCTGTTTCACCTGAGGCAGCAGTTGTGTTTTGCTGGAAGGCGTTTGGCCCCCTAATGAACCCTTTAAGTAACGTGGAGCGCCCACCGGATTCAAGGAACTATTCCTACCACATAGTTTTGTAAAAAAAAAAAAGTCTAATCTCATGCCTTGGAAAACCTCATTGGTAAATATGACAGGCTTTTCTGGGTGGTACATTGTACTGAATTGAATGATCCATAAAAAGCTGCTTTAAATGTACCCAAACTCTAACATTTTAAGAAAATGGGCTTTTTATGTGTCTGACTACTTGTGCTCGGCCTATTAACTATACCTATAACCAGGGGTTAAGTTGGGATTTGATATGTGGGGGGGCTCTGTGTGGAGGTGCGAGAGGGGGGCGGAGGTCGAGGATCTCATTATTTGACCTTAAGGGATATACGCTGTGGCCCTAAAGCAACTGCTACAGTATCTGTATCAAATGCACACACTGATGCCACCAAATGTCAAAATAAAAATAGAAAGTACTACAAATAAACTGGAATTCATTTTATATTATTAATATATATACAAAAATAGGTTTACAAATATCCAACCTTCAAATTGCTTTTTTAAATCAACACTGATCTGCACACTTGTTAAAGAAAATGTTTGTGGAAATCTCAATTCATTTGTAGGGCTGCGTGAGTATGGCCAAAAGTATGGGAGTAAATCTCACTGTAAACTATGTAATCATCACCAAATGTTGTGTTATTATAATAATAATAATAATAATAAATGGGATTTATATAGCGCTTTTCTAGATTATTATTATTATTATTGATTATGACCGATCATAACTCAGCTTTATGCAGACATACATTTAGCATGGTGTACAGGGCCGGTTTTTGGCATTGGCAACAGAGGCGGTCGCCTAGGGTGCCAGATCTGGGGGGG